TGCATTATTTTTTTTACCATCATGACCAGGAAGTAACTCTCATAATACAATGAAACGGATAACTATATACAATTATATTACACAAAATCATTGTTTTAAAATGCTTATTGTACTATACCTTAATGTATCATTATAATACGTATAAAGTATGACGTTTCGTGTGTAATAATGCCGTTTCATGTCTAAGCAAATTACGCTCCAAAACGTTAGGTGGCGTTACTCGGTTTAGAACGTAAGCTCCGCCCCTCACTTCCGGTCCTGGCGCTGGTGTTAGAACGTAAGCTCCGCCCCTACTTCCGGTTCTGGCGCTGGGGTTCTGAAACTGGTGGTGCTGCGGGTCTGCAGCTGGATACTATTGCTGAGAACGAGCTAGATGAATACATTAACAGCTGATAGCGCATTCAGGGGCGTTAACTGAGCAGAGCGCGAGCAAAATAATGATCAAATGTGTTTTATTAACGAAACAAATCAGAGACTTGAGCTCATGGCTTCTGGTCGTCAAGAATATCCCGAACATCGAGACGGAGGTATCGTTCGTAAGCAGCAGAAACCACCGCCCCATAGCTTAAAGGGTTAAACCGGACCGAGTACGTGTCGCCGCCGTAGTTGTTGCACAATGCGTAAGAATGAGCTGTATACGGTCCGGAGGCAGTCCGCAGAAGTGAATTCCTATCACAGCAAGCTGTTTGAATCTGCGCTGCATAGTGGTAAAAGCCAGCGTGAGCAACGCGATCAGTTGCCAATGACAACAGATAACGCACGTAGCCAATATGATCGCATAAGCATTTTTATGACAAAGATAAGCCCAAATGCCACACGGATAGCATTACAAGAAGGATGTTGCCAACACACTGATAGCTTTTAGCAATGAATATTAAAAAGGAACTTAGCTTCGTGAAGATTTTCAGAGATGAATGGAGAATGAATCACGTCGAGTCCTGTGTCAATATTGCAGCAGAAGCGAGCAGCGAGCCAGCAGAGCGAGCAGCAAGCATGTATGAGCAAGGTGAATGAGCTTTAAATAGGGCGCCTTGTTTGAGCTTTGGCCATTGAGCAGCGAGGGGAGTTAACCAGCTAATGCAGCTCAGCTGGAGCAGATCAGCTGACGGGACAGTGTTGATAGCAAATAGCATAAGCAGCAGCTTGACTACCTGGCCTGCCAGAACCGACGCTGACGCTCAATTTCTGTACAACGACATCAACCAGCAGAGCAACCCGAACAAAATGGATGAAAAAATGTTTTTTAGTATGAAACAAATTATCTGCGAAATCAGTTCCAAGTAAACTGTGCTGCGGATATTCTGTATCATAGCAACGAAACGTCTCAACGGAAAAAACGCTGCGCAGCCAAAACACTCAAGCGCCCACTAGACTCTAGCGCTTTCAGCCGGCTAAAACGCTTTGGTGGACACACGGCCTAAAGCAGTCAGACTCTGCCAGGCGTTAACAGCTCGCGGTGAAAACAGCTAACGTGGTTTATCAAGTTAGCGGTATTACCTCCTGCATATTCTATTAGTGCGTGACATGAGCGCACACAGCGCGTGTCTCCTCCAGATCGTGCTTACCAGGTTGTTCATAAAAGCCCAAATGTGCCCAGATGAAGGCTTTTAAAGTAGTTGGAGCATTTTTAATTACTCGCACTCGCGTCTCGCCTCCCTCTGCCACTGTATGCTACCGCAACAAAGCACACACGCGACGAATGACGTTAGAAAAGCGTCAGTACATTATAATCGGTTATGGTCTATTACTGAACCGATACCGAATCGTCCTCGTCTGCATCGCGACGCATCGTAGAAACGATTCATTTCGACACCCCATAATGGTGTGTGCTTTGAGACATGAGGTAACGCCGTCAATCACCTCGTGACGCTTTGCAGACTCTGCTGTGTGTGTGTGTGTGTTCATGTGTTTTGAAGGAGGCGTGGCTTTAGAGACGCTCTGAAGGGAGGGTGGGATCTCATGCTTTCAAAGCTAGCTCGCTATTGCTAGCCTCTCTGAAATTGCCTACCCTACCTTTAACGAATTAATCTTATTAGTCTAATCTTTCTCTTATGTTTTAAATGTATTATTAGCATACTAAGCAGAAATGTAATTCTAAAAAGTTCTAACTATTAAGGATATCAGGATATTTGTTCTTAAAAGTTACCAGTAACTAAAAAATGATTGCTAGTTCTAATCTTTCTTGACAAGTAAAATATAATTAAATACTAGACACTATTTGAATAAGGACTAGTTATAAACAAGAACTAGTATCTAATGAATATGTAGGCTACTAGTATTTTTTTTTAAAGTTACTAGACTTAAAGAATAAACACTAGAAGCAAAAAAATAAGTACTAGTAGTAGCATGAAGATAGATAGTAGTACATTTTAAGGATTAAATGTTAAAAAGGCTTATGTAAGCTAGGCAGTCACGAGTAATGAAAGCTTTAGATAGAGTAGATGGGTAAAATACTAATATTGAATTGTAATTACTAACAGAATGACAAATCTCCGGTTGATGATTTTGGTGATAAGATTAGTATTTTACCCATCCATCTAAATATTTGCCCTGGATGATTTAAAAGATGCTATTGTCCGTTTGACGTCGAATTCAGTGACGGCCTTTAAAGCAAGGGCTTGTTCCACGCTATTAGCTAGACAAACTTGTGTATACTCAAGGGGAAATTAGTGACTACAGAATCAATAAAATAATGATTAAGTGCCTCGGTGCCGAATTATTAGTCAGCTTCCCATTCACTATCAGTTCAAGTGATGTCCTATCTTCTTCTTCTTCTTTACATAACATCTATTAGCAGTTTTTAAAGCAAGATCCCGTTCTTTCATCAGTTTTAAAATATCAGAATTTATCCTGGGGACTGTATGTTTTAAAAAATATTTTGACTAAATTTGCAACTAAAATCTTTAATAGTGATCTCAAATTTTTTGGAGAATATCGGTCTGAATCTGTTCGGTCTCCACAAATGACCTTTCTATTCATTTTAATTTATTGTCCTCCCTCTTCTAATAGTTATGAAAATTTGAAACAATTACTAAAACTGTGTGATTTTAACAAAGAGGTTATTATTATGTGAGATTTTAACATTAATTGGGATGACAAAATAGTTAGAAATAATAACAGGTAACTGATCATTTCAGTCTGAAGCAACTGATTAATGGACCAACAAGAATAACTCACTCAAGGACTCAAATTGATTTCATTTTTAGTAACTGAGCGGAGATATGTTTAATATGTTAACAGGCCTCTCTGAACAACTTGATTTATTGGCCAAAATATTATCTATTATCATGAATATTATATATATATTAATAATAATAATAATATTATTGATCTGCCTTACTTAAGGTGGACGTTGACGCAATTTCTTTTAGAAACAAACTTTGTTATATTGTTTTCATGTTATCACTGTGAAGCGCTTTGATACAATCTGTATTGTAAAAAGCGCTATATAAATAAAGGTGACTTGACTTATATGATCTAGTAAGATTGAATTAATTCGCTGGGAAATATGATTCTAATGGCATCCCAAAACAAACTAGATGATTTCAGAAGTGTGTTTCATCAGATTAAATGTGGTGATTTATTAACAGCGGACACAGATGGCTGATAAAGACGTATCTTTTTATTTAACCCATGGGATTGAACTTGTACAATGCATATCTTTACAACAATTATTCACTAAGTGACAGATTTTAGCCACTATTACAGACCAAATAACTATACATCACATTTCTGGGTTCCTTTTTAAATGTTTTAACTCAAAATGTGTCCTTCATTAAACACAATGAAAAAGAAAAATTAAACCATCAGACAAAAGCAAAGCAGTGTTTATCCTGTTTAATCCCAACATCGATTCTCAACAAATCATTGTTAAGCATCTAGCTATTGTACCACTGAACATGTTAAAGTTACATGGTGAATCCATAAGAAAAAACAAAAACACATGGCACTGTTGAGAGGTTCACCATTAAAAACACACAGTCAATGAAGGGAACCAGGCCTGAAGACGCGGACAACATAAAAGAATGGGAGGGAAACAAATCATAGCACTTATTTTTGAATATGTATTTCTATTGTGTGATGTTCACAAGACACATTTTGAGAACGGGAGCGAAAAAAAGACGTAACCGTGAAACCCTCGAATGCAAAAGTCCACCAGTTTCCAATGATCCACTCGTTCCGACTTGTGAGATTCAATGGAAATATTGTAAAATTACTGTCATTGGTTTGATCAGATGAAGTTGTAGAAAAGAAACTAGTACACTAGTATTCTGGCTAAAGATTCTGAAATAGAGCAGTGCAACATGGCTATAGTTTTACCGTAACGTACAACAACAACAACACACACATTAACGGTGCATAAATGTTCAGCTTGTTCTGTGTTTTTCTTTCTGCTACAGACGCTCAACCAGCCAGATGAACATGACGGAAGTCTATATATCACTGACATGTTGGAATTTGAGTTTGGCATTTAAAGTTAGTTGTGTATTTCACATAAAATGAGAGTGAAAAGAACATTTCACAGTTCAGCTAAAGCGCCATTTTGAAGGGAGTGGCTGAAAAGAAAAGAAAAATACATCCGTTCTGTGCACTGCCCCAATAACACCACGAAACTGCAATCAAATCAATGCAAACCGGCAGCTTGTTCAGTAACGGCAGCCCAGAAATCTCTCCGAAACAATACAAATGAAACGAAATTATACATTCAAGCTTCATACAGCCCCATATCAGCAGACAACAGCAAGTAAACAACTGCAGATTTCTCCATTTTGGTCTCGAATCCCCCTCCATAGTGCACAAAATAATAAGGATACAAAAGTAGAATTATTTCATTTTTAAATAGTGTAGCAGCTTGATTTTCATCTTAAATAGTGAGCCTCTTGATGGACACGTGTGGGGCTTTGAGGGAAGGAGGTGATTGTCCTACGTGTGTGTGTGTTACATTAGTGACGCATAGGGTTTATAGGGGGCCGTGTGTGTGTGATAAGATGATCGTTTGAGATGAAGAATCGCCTCTCTGTGCATCTGAACCCAGATGGGTTTGGTTTATGTCCTCAACCAGAGAAGCTTTCAATCAGTTCACTTTCAAAACGCCCCTCCGTCACAAACCGCGCTCGTTTTTTTAGGACTTCATCCATCCTCTTCCTCAAGTCGATCAGTCTCAGCTGATCTGGACTCAAATCGCCCTCCTCTTGCGTTTGGGGGGGAGGAGGCAGACAGCAGCTCTTCCTCTAAATGCCGGGCGTCTGTTTGCACACGCGAGCTGTGATTGGCCGTCTCAGCTGGACGCAGTGGCAATGGGTTTCTTGAGCTGTTGTGAGCGTAGTTCTCGCGTACGGGACTCCAGCAGGAGGTCGTAGCAGGTGTTGCACACCAGAACCGGGTCGTAAAGCTGCTGGTCTGGGATGGGCAGCTTCAGGTGACAGCAGTCTTTACAAAACACGTTACCACAGTTCCTGCCAGAACATCACACAACAATCAATCAATCACATGTTCTATCCAACAACCAAGCAATTCAACTATCCATGCAATACACCAACAAAATCAATCAAATGTGCTATAAATAGTGTTGTTCTTGTTGACTAAAACTATTATAAACCGTTTTTAGTCAGTGAAATAAAAGCTGAAATAAAATATAAATATTAGAACTTAAACGTCGGTCAGTTAGTAGCCATGGCAACATTTCTAGTTGTATTTTTTGTTGAAGTACTAAAACCGAAACAAAAATAAATAGAAATATTTAACAAAACTACTAAAAATGACAAAGCAAGTGACAAAAATACAAAACCTAATCTAAAATGAAAATATTATGATAAAAGCTAATTCAAAATATTAATAATACCATGAATAATACAACAACAACAAAAAAACACTGGCTATAAAGCCTATATTCTATAAATTAGCCAACCGATTACATATAAATCCAATATTCAAATACAATAAACTAATCAATTACATGCACTGTAAATAGTGTTGTTCTTGTTAACTAAAACTATTAAAAATGGGAAAACAATAACATGATAAACTTGCACTGGCAACTAAGTTGAAGTACTAAAATGACAAACTGGAATAAAAATTAATGAAAGCTAAATAGAAATATTTAAATATAATAATAAAAACATCTAAATTACTAAAACCTAAACAAATTTAAATATACAAAAAAATAAGAGCTAATTTGAAATATTAGTAATATTTCAATAGTATATCTATAATACTAATAATAAATTTAACCAACCAAATCACATATTAATCTATAAATTCTATATTTAATCAAATACAATGCCATTAATCCAATCAAATATTCTAATAATAAAATTAACCAACCAATCACGTATTAATCTATAAATTCTATATTTAATCAAATACAATGCTATTAATCCAATCTATAAATTCTATATTTAATCAAATACAATGCTATTAATCCAATCAAATATTCTATCAAAGTTTAAAATCAAATCTGACTGATGTATAATAAAAAAAACAACGTGCAAGCATCAAAAACAGGACACTTTCATCTTAAAAGCACTGATTAAATGAGCTATTTTATGTGATAAATCAATTGTTGTGAAATTCAGTACATTTACAAAATATTTAACATGACTTAAAATCTCAGTTAATAAATTTAGGTGACAAAAAGCAGCTTGGCAACCCTTTACAATCGGCAGGTAATGTTCAGCTGATCCATCCATTTCCCCTCTCTACACATGATGCACAGGCGCTCAGTGCAGTCCGGTGTGTGAGGGGTGTGTGTGGACGAGACCCACCTGCAGTGATGCCGACGCTTGACCACCCAGAACTCGCAGTCGCAGTTGAAACAGTGAGAAGCCATGTGATCCGGGACCCATCTGGTGACCTGAGAGACCGAAAACAAGGCTGTTACTGCACTGAGAACAAATGCACTGAGTGTGGCATTACTGATGCCCGTTTCACACACACTCCGTTTGCAGTGCGCCACTGATACGCTGTGTACAGGGTTTGAAATGAACACCTGCCAAATGCGGGTAAAAATGAACTGTGGCGGGTAAAGGCCTTGCACACCGAGTCCGAAATTTTAGTGATTCGGTGGCTCTGAATTGTCAAAACACCATTCAAACTGCTTGCTACGGATGCGAAAAACACAGAAAATCAAACCCGATCCGATTTTTTTTATGACGGACGAAAGTTTCCTAGGCAGTGTGCAAGCGTGATTGACATAACGTGAGGTCGTATTTATTTTTTAACGTTAGTTTTAGCAGAAAACTATGGAAGCTTGTTTCCGCCACAGAATGAAAAATAAAAAAGGTAATTGCGTCTTTTTATCTCACAAATCTGACTTTTTTTCTCGCAATTGCGATTTTATATCACGCAATTCTGACTTTATATCTCGCAATTCTGAGAAATAAAGTCAGAATTGCGTGATATAAAATCGCAATTGCGTGTTACAAAGTCAGAATTGCTAGATATAAAGTCAGAATTGATTGATATAAAGTCAGAATTGATTGATATAAAGTCGCAATTGCGTGTTATAAAGTCAGAATTGCGAGATATAAAATCAGAATTGCGAGTTATAAAGTCGAAATTGCGTGTTGTAAAGTCAGAATTGTGAGATATAAACTATTCTGAGGGGAAAAAAGTTAGTCTTTTTTCCCCCCTTAGAATTGGCCTAATAACTCGCAATTGCGAGTTTATATCTCACAATTCTGAGAAAATATGTCAGAATTTCGAGATATAAACTCGCAATTATGTGTTATAAAGTCAGAATTGTGAGATTAAAAAGTCTCAATTCTGTCTTTTTTTCTCAGAATTGCGACTTTATATCTCGCAATTGCGACTTTATATCTCGCAATTGCGACTTTATATCTCGCAATTGCGACTTTATATCTCACAATTGCGACTTTATTTCTCAGAATCGCGACTTTATATCTCGCAATTGTGACTTTACATCTCGCAATGGCGACTTTATATATCTCGCAATTGCGACTTTATATCTCGCAATTGTGACTTTATATCTCGCAATTGCGACTTTATATCTCGCAATTGTGACTTTACATCTCGCAATTGCGACTTTATATCTCGCAATTGCGACTTTATATCTCACAATTCTGACTTCATATCTCGCAATTGTGAGATAAAAAGTCGCAATTATTTATTTATTTATTTTTATTCAGTGGCATAAACAAGCTTCCATAGAAAACTGCTGGATTTTGAAAGTATCCAACAGAGAAACTCCCACCCCCTCCCTCCCTTCTGGGCTCCTTCCAAAGCCACGCCCCCAAAACACATGAACGCGTGATGCCGAGCGCTCAGCTGGAGGACGCGTTCACCAGCGCCGAGCGGAGAGGAGCGCAGTGCATGGAGTGACATCACCTGTGTTTGCCTGCGCTGACTGTATATGCTGGTACTGGTGGTACTGGGAATTTTGACTGCTCTTTCTCTGCCATAATTGTGAGACTTCCTAGCTTCCGGCCAGTACGTGCCTCTCCTCTTTCGAAATGAGCGAGTCAACCGGGTGCGCGCATGTGGGCGGCTCCTGTAGCAGCAGGGGTGCTTACCATGGTAGCGAGGGAGAGTAACAGTCGCCCAGCCAATCATTGCACTCGTTCCGAAAGGAAAAAGTAGCTGTGTTTATTTCAGCCCTGAGAGGACTACAGACACTCGATTTTTATACTCTCCTTTTCAGAGTACTTACATTTTAGATATGTATTGGTATACTGTATAAACAAATTTGGGATAAAGTGTTTTAGAAATAAACTGCCTACCCTGCCTTTAACGTTGTCAAATCATTAGCCAATTTCTTACACCAACGCATCGCTTCAGAAGGCCTTTATTAACCTCCTGAGCCGTTTGGGACACTTATGATGGATAGACGCACTTGAATGGACACAAAAAAATGGTGCCCATTCACTCCCATTATAAAGTGAGTAAATCATGGGCTAATTTTCATTTTTGGGTGAACTATCCCTTTAATTCAACGCGTGCAGCACAGCAAAAATAGACTCGGTTAGGAAACAATCGCTGCTCTTCTGTACACACACCGTTCCTGGAACGCATTGACGGACCGTACCCGCGTGCAGTGTGAACGCTCGAACCGGTTAACACGGGTGCGGGAACAAATACGCACTGCAAACGGAGTACATGTGAAACAGGCGTTAGTAGGGAAGAGTGTGGATCCCTCACCTCGGTGTCCTTCCTCTCGACGCGGTCCCAGCTGCCCTCACTGAAGCGATCCTCGCTGTGATTGGACAGAGAGTCTTCCTCATCACTGCCGTCTGACTCCCGCAGGCACGTCTGGAGGGGCGAGAGACAGAAGATACTCAATGCGGACCCGTTTACACCTGGTTTTAAGATGCATGTGAGCATCGCATTTGCAGTGGAAACACGAATGCATCCTAAAGGAGCAGCTACACACCCGTCAATCAATCACTGCATTGTAATATTTCACAATATTACAGTTTTTTTTAATACTGTATTTATCAAATAAATGCAGCCTTTGTGAGCAGAAGAGACTTTTCAAAAACATTAAACCTGCAGTTCCAAATGGCAAATACATTTAGGGCTGTCACTTTTGTGAAAAAATCCTGTTCGATTTTTGAGAAATAAGTGTTCATTGAATCGATTGTAAAATTGATTTTCCATGTCTAAAGACGTTTCCATTTTCAACACCAAATACAGGCAAATCCACGGACACCTAACAGGCATTAGGACGAGCGTAAAGAGGGCGCTTGAGACGCGCAAGTCAGCAATATTCCTGATGATTTATTGGCGTGAAGTTTCGTGCACAATGACAAACAGGAGTGCAACATTCAGGGATTGAGATCAACACCCTCCGACTCGCCAAATGCGGGTAAAAATTAACTTTGGCGGGAAAAGTTGTCAAATCACGAGCCAATCTGGCGTGTTTCTGTGTTTACTCACTTTGCTGTGGAAGTTCGTGTAAGCCAAATCTGCACGGATTTAGCACAAATACGCAACTCGTGATCCTCATGATATATTAAATACAGCGTATTGCAGAATCTGCGCATTTCTGGCTTACTTGAACACACACACACACACATCACTAAGCAACAAATAACGGCGCGCTTGTTCACTTGCATTAAAGCAATAGTGAATATTAAAAAGCATTTGGTGAACAGAAAAGACATTGTTGTTTTCCTACATGTTCTGTGCACTGAATTGATCTGTCCACCTAAAACACATTTTCCGTAAAAAAGAAAAAGAAAAAAAAGAAAGGTCGTTAAAATCGATTCCATATTTTCGTTTTCGATACTTGTGTTGGTTGGTCCGATCGATTGTGCAATCGATTTTCGAACATAAAGTGACAGCCCTAAACCATATAATAACTTGCTTTTGATACTTTATTTGAACCGATTATTATTGCCTCGTTATTATTATATGTGATAGAGAACTGTTAGTGTTAGAACTGTACACATTTAATTAAATCCTAGCCTTCAGAATTAATAGGCTGTATCAGTCCCTGTTTTTCCATCTCCAAATTTAAGACCTCTTAAAATGATATTTAACATTTCTGAAGAATTTGATATAACTCATGATAAATTCACTTTGATAGAAATCAGTTTGCATGCACAGGTCTAATGGGAAACACGTGCATATGTAGGAACATAGACTTACGATATCATCCTCATAGTCGACGTCTGGTTCGGAGGGCGGCGTGCAGAACTGTTTGCTCTCTAGTTTGAGCTGGAGCTGTCGAACCTGCCGCCTCAACACCTCCACCTCCTGTTTGTAATTGGATTCGATCTGTCGCAGCCGCTGCTGCACCGCGTCCACCGCCACCGGCAAACCGTCATCGTCCAGGTACGCGGGCGTCTGAGATGGAGCCAGAGATCCGCCTGAGGAGGGTGAAGAATGGGAGGGTAGAAGCTGCCGGAAGGACGGTCCCATTGCTAACGAAGAGGCGGCTGAGGAACATAGTGCAGCGTAGCTCGAGTTCTTCACGGCGGAAAACCAACCCGACTGGATTGGACTTCCAGGAGTGCGCAAAGGGTCACGACGACAACACGGCCCACCGTTTGCACTTCCACCTTGGGCGCGAAGAAGCTTGTTTGCCAATCGACGGCCATGATAGCTCCCGTGTTGAATGGCGTCACCGCAGGCCGACTGGACAAGACCCTGGACGCTGTCCCATTGGGATCCAAGTAGGGAAAGATCAGTTAACTGGCTTTGGGAAATAAGACGCCGTGCTGCTTTGGCGTAGTCGGCGGGGGGTGGCCGTTCTCTCACAGAAACAAGTTCTCCATTTCTTAACGCCTCAGTCTTTTTAGCTTCAACAGGGATGTGCGATTCAATCCTAGCTGGAGCGATGGGGCTTTGCTCCGTTAGCGTCTCCACGGATGCCTCCATTGGAGAAAAGCGTTCGAGCTCGGAGTCCAAAGAGCTGCTAGTGTTTTCTACGTGTGCAAAGCCATTACAAAGAGAAGGTGAATTTGAGGTTGTGGAAGTGATTTCTGCAGTCCTGACTTCCTCTTCCTGCGGTAGAGGTGGGAGGGGACTGATTGGGATTGGAGGAGGGGCTTGATTTAAAACTGGAAGAGGCGGGGCCTGATCTAATGCTAAGGGGTGGGGCAAAGACGGCAGTGGCTGGGTTGTCAAACAAGGCTCCACCCTTACATCATCCTCATGTTGCTCACAAGATATCGAAGAACCTAATTCCTCACACGTCTCCAACTCCTGCTCATCGCTGACCAATCCAGTGATCGACGTGTCCTGGATCGCCAACGGCTGATTGGACTCCAGCGCTGGCCGTCCCTCCTGGCAGTGTTTGTTCAGGTTAGGGTCACTTGAGGTGCGAGTGAGCGTAACGCCGTTCTCACAAGCAGACACCAAGTTGTCCATCGACCGTGTTTTGGGGAGCCTGAGTGAAAGGACAAAACACAAAATGTCAATATGCTTCAGTTTTCCACAAGAGGGCAGAATCTGGACACACACAACTCAAAGCATCTCAGTACAGCGACTGATAAATGTTTATAAAAAATAAGGTTTTTATAAATAAGGTTTTTATTTCATAATATACAATAAACAAACAAGTTTTATATTAACCAAAATTTTAAAAGAAAAATAGGTGTTCTTTTTAGTCTTGATAATACTGACACTTGAAAATATTTTGCTAAATGCATTATAAAAATAAAACAATATTTGATAAAAATATTTAATGCTTCATAAAATACTTCGTAAATGTCACTAAGAGCCAGTATTTTTGTTAAACAAAAAGCAAAGTATTTTATGAAGCATTAAATCTTTTTATTAAATATTGTTTTATTTTAATAATGCGTTTAGTTTGCTTTTCAGCAAAATGTTTTTAAGTGTCTGTATGTTTGAACAAAAAACAAATAATTTTTAATTAAGCATTTAATAATTTTTATAAAATATTAAGTTTGCTTTACTTGCCTTATAAATATTTTGCTAAAAAAAGAGCCAGTATTTTTGTTAAACAAAAAGCAATGTTTTTTTTTAGCAAAATATTTATAAGGCAAGTAAAGCAAACTTAATATTTTATACAAAATTATTAAATGCTTCATTAAAAATGATTTGTTTTTTTGTTCAAACATAGACACTTAAAAATATTTTGTTTAAAAAACACTGAAAAATGTGTCAGGGCAAGTAAAGCAAACATTGCTTTATAAAAAATTAAATATTAAATGTATAAAAAGTAATACATTAATAGTTTTATAAATATATGCTTAATAACTATATATATATATATATATATATATATATTATAAAATATACATTAATAATAAAGCTTTATAACATTACTTTTCTTTTTGTTTAATAAATTAATAAATTAAATAAATAAATTGTTTAATTTTGATTAATAAAAAATATTTGATAAAAATAAACATTTAATTTTTAATAAAAAAATGTAATGCTTAAACAAAAAACCTAAACAGAAGTATTTTTTTATAAACTAAAATACTGACACTTAAAATGATTTTGTAAAAAAAAAAAAAAAAAACTTAAAATGTCACCAAGGCAAGTAAAGCAAACAATATTTTATTAAAAAAACTGTTTTTTGTTTATACTTTAATATATAATAATAAAGCTTTATAACAGTACTTTGCTTTTTGTTTTAATAAAAATGACACCTAATATTTTGCGTAAAAACACATTAAAAATGTCACCAGGACAATTAAAGCAAACTTAATGCTTTGTAAAAAATACAACATTTAATGCTTTTAAAAATTATTCAATGCCTTATGAAAATAAAATACTGACACTTGACAGTCCTGAATCTGTAATTTACTGGCAGAGTCTGTCAGAGCTGGCAGAGCCCTGAATCTGTAATTTACTACTAGATTTAGTAGTGTAGTTTACTTGGAATTGTGGGATATGTAGTACATATATATATATATGAAGAGTTTGGTTCCAAAAAGCAATATACGCCATTAAAAAAAAAATGAGTTACTGCAAAAATCAGTATTGTATCTGGTTGGTATTGAAAAGTCAATGTTTAATTTTAAGTAAAATGCGATATCCGCCGTGTTATTCTGTCATGTTTTCTCCCTTTCTTTCCAAACCGCGACAAACGCCAGTCTCCCTTCTCGGCAGAATGCGATATATCCGCTCTCAACCAATCACAACGCACCATTCCACGCCATGTAAACAGTAACGGCAGCGCCTTAAATACACCCGGCTTCCTAGTTTTTCTGATCTATTTTGTACTTTTCGATCAACAAACAAACAAAAAATGAATAATTTTGACGGCATTGATGAACCTGTGGTTGTTTCTGCGGTGGGTGAGAAACGTAAGGCATCGAAATCGAATCATTTACGTGAGGAGATTAAGAAGACGAGGCACTCGGGAGGAGGAAAAATGTTTTCAATCTTCTTTACAGTTCTTAATAAAAATATTATACTAATAAACTTACGTTGTTGTGTATTTTCAACAGTTTCAATATGAAAAAAAACTTTTATATTGATTCAATGGATTAATTGCATTTTGATTTTTTTTTTTTAAATGGATTTATTGCATTTTGGGGGGAAAATAATCCGTTTTTATAATAAATCTTTTAACATCAAAACCTGGATTTTTTATTTTTTTTGTTATTATGACCTACAAATGCTATGTGAAAGTTTGAAACAGAAAATAGTGGTTTTCATCTTTCCACTTTCTTGGTAAAGAAAACACATTTTTACTCAAATTAATCTAAATGGATTTATTGCGTTTTGGAACCAAACTCTTCATATATATATATATATATATAGGGGAAAAAAAGGTCAAATTAAAGAAAAGGGCCAAATTCACAACAGTGTAATCTGCTGTAAACTGAGCGTGAGCGGTCACCTGTCGAGCGAGCGCGAGGTGAACTCCTCTCCTTGTGCCGAAGGGCTCAGGTAGATCTCCATGGCGTCTTCAGCCGCGGTGCACGGTGATGATGTGGGCAGATAAACAGCCGTCCACAACTGAAGAGCTCGCGTGTGACATACGGGCTGCAAAACCTGCAACAGAGGCAATCACACACATCATGACACACACACCGACGGCTTCACAGTAACTGTGGCGTCAAATCCAAGACATTTATTGGGCATTACAAAACATTTTTTGGAATTTTTTTTTTTGTGTGTCTTTTTTAAAAATTCTCTTAAAATATCTGCAAATTTTCAGGTTTGGAAAAGGCACAGAAATGAATAAAATCATACAAAGTTATAGAAATTTCTATAGTAAATGTAAATTGTTTAGCTCTAAAATACTTTAAAATATACAGTCAAGCCAAAAATTATTTAGACACCAGATCTAATTTTTGATATTTGTTTACTAGTGTGTGCAGGACACTATAGTTCATTTATGTAAGTGAGGAGAGCAAAATAAAGTAAACTGTGACATATTATACCTAAATATTCTTCATACAGCGACTACCAGTAACATTTATAAAAATGTGGGACCAGAAATGATTCCTCCACTTTGAGCTGATCATGTTTTGCTGAAGTGTGTTTTCTGTAATTGCTAATGCTCTTTTTACACACACACTGAACAACATGAAGCTTTGCTTGGTAATCGTTTGAGCTAAACTGGTATTATCTAATTGTGTCGTTAAATTTAACAGCTGACAGATATTCAACATAATTCATTTGTGAGAGTCTAACAGAAGGACGGACAAAACCAGTCAAATATCCACTGATTTAATAACTCTGAGTTCTGCTCATATTTTATTACCATTTTCTAAACTATAGCGAATAAACTGAAAATGTTGAAGGTGTCTGAATACATTTTGGTTTGACTGTATATATTTTGAAATGTATATTAAAAATATGTTACATAAATTTGCTAAAGTTAAAATAGCCTTTTGAGAGTCTCTATTTGGAAGCTTATAATTATAATCGTTAACTAAAACTATTAAAAACATTTCTGTTAATTGAAATCAAGCTGATATAAAATCAAGTATAAATATTAGTTAAAAAACTGTTGCCTGACTGAAATAAGTTTAAGTTGAAGCATTACAATTATTAACTGGAAATAAATACATAAAATTGAAATAAAAATAAATTCAACCCAAATAGCAATCTTTAAAAACAACAACAAAAACTAAATGAAATGACAAAAGCACAATCAAATTACTAAAATTGAAACTAAAATTTACATAAAAAATTTAAAAATATAAAATATGAATAATTAAACTAAAATAACACATGAAAATAAAAACGCCAAGCGCTTCATTGTGAAACAGACGCTCAGCGCCTCTTAAAAACGTGGCATTCCCATTAAAAACAACTGGAAAAATACGCCAGCCGCGTGAAAAAATGCTTTGGTGGCCTTAGTATCATAATTAACCATTTTTTGCAGCATTGACTGCTTAAAGCTGATTATAACCTCGTGTTATAGTTAATGATCTTACACAGTTATTGAACTGAATCAACACTGAGCTGAATAATGACACTAGCTGCTTTATTTGATGAAGTTTGCATCATTGATTCTGTTATTTTCCTGTTTATTACTGAAACAATCTGTTCTGTATAAAGCGCTGTAGAAATGAAGGTGACATGACTTTATGTGTGTGTGTGTGTGTGTGTGTGTGCTGACCATATCATGGCAGGGGATGTAGAGGAAGTTCTGGAAGTTCTTGTTTCCGGTGCGAAGGAGAGACCAGACGGAGCATGTGCGCTTATAGACGTTACGAGCCTCTCGCTCTTTTGCGTTATTGCACAGGAAGGTGCCGTACAGACAGGAGTACGTGTGCTGAACCAGCTTCACCTAGAACAACAACAGAGTTAATCAGTACAAAACTAGAGAACAACATCTGATAATACAAACTGATCATTTATCCTTCCTGCATCATCCAGCCAATCAGGAGGCTTCAAACTCTACAGACTGATTATGATGAGGAACCATGTTATCTGGCTGCATTGAATCACACTTTTTTTTTTTTTTAAGTCCCCCTGTGGTGTAAATCCAGCTTTTAATGTTGTTTATGTGTCTGTGGTGTTTTTAATACGCTTTAAGACACACCATGTGTAAGTTCATAAGTCGACAGCATTGCTGAGTATTTTCTGCTTAAAACTTCAGTGAACCAAAGACAGTCTCAAAAACACGGTTTGAAATCGCTGGTGTTTCTGACGTCACAAACGACCTTGTAACCAATCAGATCAACGTGTGATCGTCAACCAGTGGATCTCTGAGTTGAGTGAGTGAGTGGAGGCGGGGCTCATTTGCATATTCATAGAACCACACATACTAAATGAGGCAAGGGTGTCGAGTTACATTCAAGCTATTTTAAAGCATGAAGAAATAGTTTTTTCAAGGAAAAACGTTTAAATATGTCATTTTGGTGATCAAATAAAGGGATACAATGATTGACTACAGGGGGACTTTAACTAAAAATATAAATGTAGCTCAAATTTTGAGGCTTCTTTGTTAATTAAACCAAAGCTCAAGGTATGGAAAACAGGCAGCTGATGTGTTGATTGGCTAATTACTTTTGTTATTTTCTCAGTTGTGACCAAATATACAGTATATACACTACCGTTCAAAAGTTTGGGGTCAGTGAGAATTTTATTTTTTGGAGGAAAGAAATCAATACTTTTATTTATCAAGGAATAATTAATTTGATCGAAAGTGACAGTAAAGACATTTATAATGTTACAAAAGTGTTTTGAACTTCCTATTCATCAAAGAATCCTAAAAAACAAAACAAAAAAACTGTACAACTGACAGACCAACAACTGTTTCAACATTGATAATAATAATAAATGTTTCTTGAGCATCAAATCCTCATATTATACTGATTTGTGAAGGATCATTTGACACTGAAGACACTGACACTGGTGATGCTGAAAATTCAGCTTTGATCACAGGAATAAATTACACTTTACTATATATTCACACAGAAAACAGCTGATTTACACTGGAATAATATTTAATACTATAACTGATTTTTGTTGTATTTTTAATCAAATAAGCGCAGCCATGGTTAGCAGAAGAGAATTCTTTTAAAAGTATTTAAAATCGTACCGACCCCAAACTTTTGAACGGTAGTGCACACATGAAGTGCGAGTCCCTACTGTAGATAAAAGTAAAGGCTTGTTACCAGAAAGGCCTCGTTGAACTCGAACAGGCAGGGGAACTGCTTCAGGAGCTGATGAACACAGTCCAGCCACTGCAGGAACACCGGACACTGCTCACTCACGTCATCACTGTTCTCCTGATGGCCACAGCGGTCCGCGAACTTGTGCCCGTAATCCAACCACTCGGTCTCTACCAGCACCTGGAAACCCTGCGCACACAATCCCAAAGATGACTGGAGATCGAGAAGATGTAGCTAATGTAATATCAGCGACTTAACTGCACTGACACTTTCGGATGAGAACAAAATGAACTGATTACACACTATTTAAACACCAAAAATGTTTTATTTCTACTCACTATAGTAATGCACTATAAATGCATTTATTTATCATTGTTTTAATCAAATTTTTATTTATTTACACTAATCAAATGTTTATTTTGATCTAATTTAATCAATTTAATAGATTCATTTATTCATTTATTTAATAGGTTCATTCATTTTTGCTGCAAAAAGGTTATTAATTTAGTTCATTTATCTATACAGCCGCCCTGGAGAAAACTGAATAAAATAAATCAATAAATGTTTAAATGTAATAAATGTGTTCTCCAGAGCGGCTGTATAGATAAATGAACTAAATTAATAACTTTTTTGCAGCAAAAATTATTGAACCATCACTGAACTATGACACTATTTTCTTGCTGTACAGCCGAAACAAACTTTGTTGCATTATTTTCCTGTTATCTCTGTAAAGCTGCTTTGAAACAATCAGTGTTGTAAAAATCGCTATATAAATAAAAGGTTACAGGTGACATTTTAATCTAATTTGTTTACAGTAGTCAACATTTGAATTGGATCAAAAACGTTCAAAGTTGTCCTAAGACAAAAACGGGTATTGTTCAAAATTCATGTATAACTTTGATAAAAAGGTTTTGATCCACTTCAAATGTTGACTACTGTATTTTTTCTTTATTATTATTATTTTTTATTTTGATGGCTAAATTTCACATTCATAAATGCAAATTTTCGGGTAAAAAAAAAAACACGTTTTATTGCATTTAAAAATGAAGTAAAGCATTATATTGAGTCAAAATTGCCCTCGAAGAAACAAAAAGCTATTAGAATATTACATGCATGTAGCCTACACTATTTATTTATCATTGGAGAAATATAAAGAGTACAGATAAGCTTAACAGAAATTAAATCCAAATATCCTCCGTCTTTTCCTTATGCATACAAAAATCTAACAGGATATTATAGTTCCTTCTGCAGTGTTAATTAAATATATTCATATTTATATTTATACATACGTCTGTACACACACGCATACACATATTTATGGGGGAAGAATTGTTGCATTATTCCAGATAAATAGATTGAGATTAACAAACAAATGTAAAGAGATTCACAAAAAATGATCAAATTCACAAATAAATAGATTAAGATCCACAAATAAATGTAAAGAGTTTCACAAAAAATGTATAAAACTCACAAATAAATATGATACATGCAAAAAAAATTATATTTACAGATGTGTTTTATGTCACAAACACAACTCAGCCTGGCATTTATTTGTGAACCGCTTTCTGTGCATTTGCACACATTTGTGGATTTGGAAACACTGCATATATTCCAGCATACAGAATGACTACTGTATTTACTCAATTTATTTTGTTACAGTTTACCCCTAGACTTTCCCACAGACCCCTCTTGCGGTCCCTGGACCCCTGTTTTAAACAGCACTTCTTCACATTTACCTCTATGGTTCTGTAGAAGGGATCCAGAAGGATCTTTGCGAGGGCCACGATCTGCGGGGTGCGATCCCATCCGTCTGAACAGTGGACGAGCACCGGACGTCCCTCGCGCTCCACCGCAGAGCACACCAGCGTAGCAGCTTTCAGCATGACGGACAGATGCTGGAGCCAACGGGTGCTTTCCAGAGCCGAGAGCCAGCTGGACAGAGCAGAGCAGAGCGCACACGCGGGTTACAGAGCAGAAACTAGGCCTGATACTGAAGAAAAATGCCATACGCCAAAACTAATTCAATAATGCGATATTCCAAATGTGATACGATAATGCTTAAAGGGATACTCCACCGTTTTTTCACATTAAACTGTTATTCCCTTAACTAAGACGAGTTGATGCATACCTCTCTCGTCTCAGTGCGTGCGCTAAATCGCTCCGTCTTGCGGCGACACTTTGATAGCACTTAGCTTAGCCCAGTTCATTCATTAGGATCCAAGCAGAGAAGCGACCAAACACCACTTTACACGCTTAGAAAAGCGCAACATTTTATTTTGTGTCACCATTCTTGGTCGAGTTACACTACTCGTGTAACTGTATATAAATAGGGAAAACGTGGAGGTGTTTGGTCGCTTCTCTGCTTGGATCCTAATGAATGAACTGGGCTAAGCTAAGTGCTATCAAAGTGTCGCCGCAAGACGGAGCGATTTAGCGCACGCACTGAGACGAGAGAGGTATGCATCAACTCGTCTTAGTTAAGGGAATAACAGTTTAATATGAAAAAACGGTGGAGTATCCCTTTAAAGGGTGTAAAATAAACTTAAATTATCTTTTAAATATATTTAATATTATATAACCTAGATACGCGTTTCACATTCTTTCTGTGACAAGAAAACATCCCTACAGCTTCTGAAAGTGAACATCAGTGTTTTACTGTCACGTAAGAAGGGTTATTTTAACATCAGTGTAAAGCACGGGGGTTCAGCTTATCCTACATTAGGGTTATTTAACAACAGAAACTGAATAATCACATGTAAAAATAAAACACTGCTTAGTGAATGAATGAATGCTCACTGTATGAATAAACACTGTCCCGATTCCTTATTAAAGCTAGACGAGTTATTCAGCCAAGAGCAGTGAGTGATTTTCTCTGTCTTTAGTGCAAGCCGTTGCGATATGCATATCGTGATATATACATATACATATTTCGATAATTTGGATATATTGTGCAGCCCTAGACTTGAGGACACTGTGTGTGAAGGGAGAGCTGAAAATAACTTCAGATGTCATTGATGCATTAGCAATAAAATGTTCTCAACATGCAATCAACTCGAGTTATTCTTTATTTTTAATATCTCAGATTCACAAGTGACACTTCACTTGAAGCCTTTATATATATATATATATATATATATATATATATATATATATATATATATATATATATATATATATATATATATATATATATATATATATAATGCAATATAAAAGTATTTTTAATGCATTCATTATGCCATGTAATGCACCTTATAATGCATTGTATAGTCTCCTTAATAATTGTAACCGCAGTTATAAAAATTATCTATTCATAGTACCTTACAAAGTATAATGCATTTAAACCCGACAAACAACCAATTTAAGATGTAACAAGGCTTCTGCAAATATAATGCATTTTAACTTAAATGCATAACTTTTCATAAATAATTGTTAGAATGTACATTGTGAATAGCTTTATAATGCACTGTACAAAAAGGCCTTAGGTAAAGTGGTAATGAAAATTGCTATGCATTCGATGCTTTACTCGTCAGCCACGATAACACTATGTCTTTGAATTATCTTCATTTGGGAGGCTTTTATTTTTATTTTCTCAGCTAATGTTTTTTATAAATATATAAATAGAATATTATTATTTAAATTTAATATACAAACAACCATTCAAAAGTTTGGGGACAGTAATTTAAAAAAAAATTAAGACTATTTGCATTAAATTGATCAAAATCATCATATTAGAGTGATTTCGAAGGATCATGTGACACTGAAGACTGGAGTAATGATGCTGAAAATACAGCTTTGATCACAGGAATAAATTACACTTTACTGTATATTCACATAGAAAACAGCTCTTTTAAATTGTAATAATATATCATATTTTTACTGTATTTTTGATCATATAAATGCCACCTCGGTGAGCAGAAGAGATTTGTCAAAAACATAAAAATAAAAAAAAAGTGTATGTAAATTTCAGCACAGCGATGCAACACTTACTTGCCGGGATCTGGGATCTGACTGCAAACCGCTCGCAGCGACTGAAAGCTGTTTCTGATGGAGTGGATGTTGGCCATGCCCATAAACATCACCTCACAGTTGGGATAGTACTCTAAAAACACAAATAAACCAGACTTCAGTCAACAAACAAGCAACAGCTATGATCCCGTCCAAAGGTGTGAATTCAACTCATGCTCACAACTGCAATATTGCAGAAAACATTTGAGAAGAAAGCAGCGTTTCCATCCCATGTATTCAAGAGGACAAAACATCACTTCATGGGTAAGTTGTGCAAAATATCTAATAAAACGGAAATTGTTGCAATCTGGGAAGAAACTGTGGTCTTTTTTCCTCCATCATAAATGAGTTTCAGATGAAACACAGTAAACGCTGTCATGTTATCTTGCGTTCGGATGCTGGTGTTTGTGAACACACTCGTGTGAGACACTCCTGAGGGAATTAAACCCAATCATTCTGATCACAGACTTTGACTCAGTGTTTTAGAAACACCAAACCAACATTTGAGATGCTGCGATGCGATTGGTCCGCTGGTTAGTCCAGTTATCCAATCACATCCACCGTTGAGGCAAAGTCACTCGAGTTTTTTGTTGCACATCGAGGGATTTATTTGGTAAATGCGTTTCCATTGTTTATGTGCATATCTTCTTATCGGATAAAAAAAGTGCATATGTTTTTTATGCACATTTTTTGAATTCATGCACATCTTGGCATTTCTATCCAGCACTTTTTATGCAATATCCTAAAATGCACATTAAAACAGCTAGTGATGTCCACCATTGTCAAGAGACTATCATGAGTTGACGCACACTGACCTTCACACTCGCAGCCTCCTCCTTTGGCACGGTTCGCCACGGCGGCGGTGTATGAACGGGCATCGAGAATCAGCAACTTCTGGGCCGCGGCGCTGGCGTCAGGAACGGGACATCCCGCCAGAGACGAGTCTGAGGACAAGACAGAGTGGAGGAGATTAGACAGAAATACTGACATACTGCCTACTACACACTACACTGCATGATCCGCATACGAGCGTCAGATATTAGCAGGTCTAGGAGCAAAAAACGGCATCAAAATGAACAAAAATATCCCCCAAATCGAAGATAACGGGACCAAAAATATATGTATCACTTTACAATAAGGTCCCATTAGTTAATGTGTTATTAACATTAACTAACGACAAGCAATACATTTGTTACTTAATCTGTAACAAATCTTGATAATCTGTTAATGTTAGTTGGCAAAAACACAAATGTTCATTTTTAGTTCATGTTAACTAATGTTTACAGATGAAACCTTATTGTAAAGTGTTACCAAAATGTCAATATTACAACATCAAGAGGAATAATCGACAATGATGATTTTTTTTTTGTCATAATATTGCAGCCATAGCCTTTTAATGAGCTCCTGTTTTTTTTTGTTTATAATTAAATACTTTATGTAGGCTATTTGCATCATGCAACTGTTGTGTAAATACATGTATGCCAATATGAGCAATATGAAACGGTGAATAAAACATAAATGCATGTCAGACGCAGCTTCTGTTCCACCTTTGCCGTATAAAGATAGCTTTTGTTGTGGGTAACAGTCTATAATTGTAAAAGTATTTGACGTAAGATGGATACAATTGTTGGAACTGGTGAAAAATGCAAATATTATACCATCAAATCTAAGTCAGACTGTCTAAACGGGTGTTAATGAAAGTGAAGTGAACCACTCATTTGCTGCAGCTTCAACCGTGACACAATTATGATTACACTGCGCCGTTCTGAGTCGTGACATTTCTACAACAGCCCGCAGAAATAAGTTTTAGTATGGCAGAGAGGTGAAAACAGCAGGAGAATAAGAAGAAGTCGGCCCATAAGACTCATTTTAATGCGACACAAGTGCAGATATAATTCTTCAGTCTGTCCCGCTGGAAAAATCAATGCTGAGAAACTCTTGGCATCACGACGGCACTGATTCTTTCTGCACATGACAGCCAATTCACTTACAGGCATTAAGACGAGAGAGACTTCACAGAGGCCAGCCAGAACTCGACCGGAAGAGTCCAGAGAGGGGTCTCGACTCAGCAGAAACACTGCGTTCAGCAGAACATCCAATCAAAAAGAGTGATCGCATAAAGCAGTGCGACTCAGCATAAATGATTATTGGAACTGAACCACCCTGCAGTTAACTAACAACTGAATTAATTACATTTTACATTTTATGTAGAAGATAAGTGGGGCTTGTTCATCCAAACCTCCCCTCTGTGCACAATACAATAAATACATAGATAGCATGGAATATGAATGTTTTTCGAAGAGTAATGCAGCAAATGCTCGCTACGTAAAGTCTGTGCATTGCATTAAGTAGATGCTTTTATCCAAAGCGACTTGTGGATGTGGAAAATCACAAGCAATTTGTCCTAGAGCAAACAATATTCATAGTTCACGACGCCAGTATAGTATAAAAAAAATAGATTATTAAATAAGATCGAGCAGAGGTGAAGGAGTTGTTTGTTTGTTTTTATAAGTAGGCGTAATGTAAGTGGCTATGGATCAGAACTGAGATAACCTGTTAAGTGTCACCCCCCTTTTTTTTTTTATATACACATTTCGAACTTAAATGGTTGTAATTCAAGAATGCTTTGGAATATAGACGTAAGATTGGTCTCATTTTAAAGAATACATTTGGCAGATTTTTGTGGAAGTGGAATAAATTAAGAAAGTGAGACAAAAAAGTTTGATTTTATGAAAATGTACAATGTAAAAAATTTAATTATTCATATTTTATATAAAATATATATTTTCAAAACCTGGGCGACTCTAAAACTGCAAAAAAATCAAAGCCAAAAATCTGAACAAGCTGTGTTTCAAATTTTAGGTTGATATCTCAAAAAATGAGCTTTCAGTGAAATATAAGGGCGCCTCCATTTCCATATGTGTTTGAGTGATTTGAACCATTATTTCCACAATTTTCATACAATTTATGAAGTAGACATCCTATTTAGAAGTAATATGAGAAGTTTGGCAGATTTTGATATGAATAAACCTCTAAGAAACATAAAAAGAACAAGTATGTGCGTTATAGCTCGCTGCCACATCACATGTAGCGGCACATAAAAAACAAACCAAAAACCGCTAAGGAGCTGAGTGGAGGAATGACTTCTGTGACGCGTTTATCCATGAAGCTTGCATGTTGTTTTATTTTGTACAAGTTTCACGTTTGCACGTTTGCACGGTCAACAAAATATGTGCTCCAGCACTCACCCCCATTCTTTCATGAACACACACAACAGGTGTTTTAACCCCTCTTAATTAATGACACTCCCATTATAGTTTGGTCACATGACTTTCCCATTACATGGCTCCTACATCACAAATGGTGAATCTATCATTTTTTTCCTTTAGATTTAAAAAAAATAAACTAAAATAATTGAATGGATGCTATCTTTTGAACTCTTGGCATGAAAACAAACTGAGGTTTCTACCCTTCTTTCATGATTTTTCATGTTCATCTCCATTTCAAAATAAAGGTCTAAACACGCTTTAGGAGTATGAAAGAGGGAGATTCAGGAGATTCACCAAATAGGGAAACTAGAGATTGTAAGCTTTCAAATGATATATAGTTTGTCAAGATTAGTTTAGGTTTAGTATAGGATATTACTGTTTTAAAAATGTAATGGATTTGGGCCCACCGGTGGGCCGGTGACACTTAAGAGGGTGAGACCATTTTTGTGTCTCATTCACTCGGATGTACATCATATCTCTCATTGCATGAGCGCCTACTCGACTGGCGAAACCCTCGCAATTTAACCGACTTGTGATGACACTGCATTAAAATACTTATTCATCTACTACTTAATGATGCGTGAAGCTCCTCTTTAATGACGCGGCACTTCTCTTTTATTAATTTAGCCCTGTTACAGTTAAATGAGCAAAGGGGTTTAACGATCAAACAATAATTTTGCAGTTTTTACTGTAACAAAATGTTTTTTTTGAACCCTTGAATTTCCCATATGGGCCGATACAGCCAATCAGCCCATTTCACTGTGCCGTTACTCAGCCACCATAGAGCGTGTGCTAAAGTTAACATGCAGGCCTCATACTAGTTGCAATGGACTAAAGAAATCATACCAATGCTTTTTAACTTTGCACATTTTATTGGCAATTCCCGGCACGTAAACGATGCTTTTAAGCTAAAATTTGTGCTTTGTGCTATAGGTAATAATGCTCTAACAAAATTAACATTTCAAACAGCTTTTAGAGCACCAATCTTTTTTTAATAACACTTTGAATTCACATAACGAGTCCCGTCCTTCGGATGAGATGTTAAAACGAGGTCCTGACTCTCTGTGGTCATTAAAAATACCAATAAATGCAGTTGAAGGGGATATAAAAAAGTTTGGTACTACAGTAAAATTAAAATTGAAATAAAAAAAAGTCCAAAATTTGGATTTTGTTAGACCATTACCTCTATTAATAGCTTTGACGCAATCTCTATAGTGGCCAAGAAAAGAACGAGAGCATTTACGTGGTATTTTGCTTGTTGATTCTGTAATGTTGTCAACCTATATTTACTTATTGAAATTTTCGTTGTGTCATGCACTAATGCCAGCCTTACATAAACATGGTCCAAAATGGGTAGCGCTTTGTTTTACACTCCATCCATCCATCCATCCATCCATCCATCCATCCATATATGGGTAATAACTAGGTAGTAACCCTGAACCTACCCCCAAACCTAACCTTAACCCATATTGTTACCTTATATTACCTAGTACTTTCTTTCCAAATGTACTGCAACTACTGTAAAATTAAAAGCAGCCCCAAATGTGTGTCCCGTCTCCATGTAGCCGGACACTCATTCACACTTACAAATCAAAGATTTTACACTTCTAAGACACTTTTAAAAGGACAGGGGTGACAAGGGAATCAAAACAATAAGTTGACGTGTAAAATGGGCAGATTTAAGTAAAGTCTTCTAGAAAAGTGAATCATCACGACACCTCAATTACACCGCGGCCATCTGGGAGATTGTGAAATGTAAACAATTTCTGGTCTTGCCGTTGTGAGACAATGAAGAAAATAATGCACCATCTACATTATAACCAACCTGACGTTCTCGAGCGCATCTCTGCAGAGCGTTTGATCTGGTCTGATTGTGAGGATGTTGGCATCGGCTCTCGACTCATTAGATAGAGCGGTCACGACTGTAATTAGAGCGTGTTTACTCTTCAACTGCGCAAACCTGCCAAATTCCCTCTCAGACAACAGCCTGCACACTCATTTCCAGGCGCTCCGGCAGGCGAGCCCGTGGCACCTCTGCCCGTCCCGTTCCCAGCACACACTGGCAGTGGCAGAGCGGAAACGGCCGTAATTGAAAAGTTTTCCCATGGCAAAACCCATGATTCTTAGCAATCAGGTTGGCGCGAGCCGTTCATCTGCAGTCCAACACCATAATTGTCTCTAGACGCGTTTACGCTCTTCATTTGTGGGACAGAACGAGGGTGAGAACGCATTTTAAACACAGAAACTAATTACTTATGACATTTCCCCCCCCAAAACATACAGTAATTATCTGACAGAGAGAGGATTCAGTGGTCTAGAAGACGATTATTTGGAAAACTTTTGGATAAAGTGCAGGAATATAAGAGAGATGCTTTGTTGAAACGTTCACTGATTCATGTTTGTACTTACAGGCTTTTGCATTTCTAATGCGCGGAATAACATTAACACCCCAATTAATAAAACCCCGACCAATTACATACAATAAACAGATAACAGATACAACGTTTGAGCTTAAAATGTATTAGTAAATGTTGAGATTAACATTAACTAAGGTTAATAAATGCTGTAAAAGTATTTTTTATTGCACGTTAACTAATGTCACTCATGTAAAGAGTTACTATAATTCTCAATATACTTTTGTTTTCATTATTTTCTTAATATATAATTATAATTACACAAGTAATTTAATAATGCATAAATTAATTAGTTATTTTAAGTCTGTAAACTCTCTAATAAATAATAAAATCATTATAGGATTGGATTGTGATTCAAAAAACATTTTATTTGTCTCTAATAACCACTGCAGCATCAGCTCTTTTCTCAGTGTCTGAAACGGTTCGATAAAGGATTCAGTCTCTCTAAACTCCGCCTTTCCGAGAGCTGCTCTGATTGGTCAGATTGCCCAGTGTGCTGTGATTGGTCAGAAACCAAACGCTCATTATCATATCTGAGCTCCGCTCTTCCTCAGCACTTGATACACAGTGATACGAACGGTAACATTGTCATTGGTTTTACCGTATTAATCTCATCAAAGTGAATTTGCTTTTGGCAGCAGAAAACAGCGTCTTCTCCACATGAACATCACGAACCAAACTCTCCCAGTCTCAGATACAACTACAGTGTTTGAGGGCGGAGCTAAGAGACGCTGTTCAGCCAATGAAAACCACAGGCTGGCATTATGCAAATTAGTTACGTAGGTCCGTGCAGGAAATAAGACTGGAATTACTGACGACTCGTTTCAGTTCTATTCTTTGAAACTTTGCAGAGCTTTTACATTCACAAACAGCTGTTTTACACACTGCATTAAAGAGAATCCTGTAAACAACGGTCTGTGTGTTGTCAGCGTCTCACCGAAGTCACTGTCGCACGAGTCGGGTCCGTCTCCTCTGGTCCTGCAGACCTGTGGCCCGGCGTCCAGCTGACAGGCCTTCGCTATCGACGTCACCAGATACTCGTCCTCGGTGTTCCTCCAACCCCACCAGCTGATCTCCGGCTGACTGCAGCGAGCGATGACCGCCCCGTTACGCTGGTGCCTGGCGGACAGACCCAATCACAGGACATCAGGCATTCATAAAGGGATAGTTCACCCAAAAATTTAAATTAGCCCATGATTTACTCACCTAAAGTCATCCTATGTGCATATGACGACTTCTTTCAGACGAATACAATCGGAGATATATTAAAAAAATGTCCTGGCTCTTGCAAGCTTTATAATGGCAGTGGATTGCAAGCATCAGATTGAAGCTCAAAAAAGTGCATCTATCCATCATAAACGAACTCCACACGGCTCCGGGGGTTAATAAAGGCCTTGTGAAGTGATGCGTTTGTGTAAGAAAAATATTCATATTTAACTAGGGCAGTCACTTTTGTGAAAGTGTTTGATTTTTGGAGACATGTGTTCATTGAATCGATTGTAAAATCAATTTTCCATGTCTAAAGATGTTTCCATTTTCAACACCAAATACAGGCAAATCCACGGACACCTAACAGGCATTAGGACGAGCGTAAAGAGGGCGCTTGAGACGCACAAGTCAGCAATATTCCTGATGATTTATTGATGTGAAGTTTCAGCACAATGACAAACAGGAGTGCAACATTCAGGGATTGAAATTAACACCCTCGACTCGTCAAATGCGGGTAAAAATGAACTTTGGCGGGAAACACTGTCAAATCACGAGCCAATCTGGCGTGTTTCTGTGTTTACTCACTTTGCTGGGGAAGTTCGTGTAAGACAAATCTGTGCGGATTTAGCGCAAATATGCAACTCGTGATCCTCATGATATATTAAATACAGCGTATTGCAGAATCTGCGCATTTCTGGCTTACTTGAACACACACACACACACACGTCACTAAGCAACAAATAACGGCGCGCTTATTCACTTGCATTGAAGCAATAACGAATATTAAAAAGCATTTGGTGAACAGAAAAGACATTGTTATTTTCCAGCATCCTACATGTTCTGTGCAATGTATTGATCTGTCCGCCTAAAACACATTTTTGGTAAAAATAAATAAATAAATAAAAAATAATAATAAAAAAAGGATGTTAAAATCGATTCCCTATTTTCGTTTTCGAAACTTGAGTGTTAGTTGGTCTGATCGATTGTGCAATTTTGTGGGATTTTTGAGTGTAAAGTGACAGCCCTATATTTAACACGTTACAAAGTAAAATTCTAGCTTCTGGTTAAACGAACATACGGATTCCACTTACGCCTAAATAATAATAATTTATATTAATGTATATAGCGCCTTTCCCAAGCTCAAGGACTCTTCACAATAAAAAAATAAAATAAAAAAACAGTTCACACATGAATGGACAATAGACATTTGCCCAGTCCGAGCGATTGCAGTTGCATATCGCATTACATTTTGAAATACAAAAAAAAAGAAAAAAAAAGCACAACTTATGCCGTCAGAAGTAGCGTAGTGCGTCATGGCGAAGCGTAAATATCAGCAGTACGTCGCATTACTCGCAGAAGTTTTAAATATGAATATTTTGAAATACACAAACGCATCGCATCAGAAGGCCTTTATTAACCCCCGGAGCCGTGTGGAGTTCATTTATGATGGATAGATGCACTTTTTTGAGCTTCAATCTGATGCTTGCAATCCACTGCCATTATAAAGCTCGGAAGCGTCAGTGTGTTTATTAATATAACACGGTGTATATGACTTTCTACTTTCAGACGAATACACATAGGATGGCTTCAGGGCGAGTAAATCATGGGCTAATTTTCATTTTAAAGTGAAGTACTGCTTTAATTTGACAGAAGAAAAAAGGCTGGATGTAAGGCTGAAATGAGTGTGAGAGGACTGGACATGGACAAGCTGCTGCTCTCACCTGTACACCACCACAGGAATCCTCTTCCAGGACCTGAAGGAGCCCACGCTCTCCAGCTCTTTATCTGTGATCCAGACGGGCACCAGCAGCTTCTGAGGGTAACTCGAACACAACCTACAAGACAGAACGACGAGAGTTTGACACTGAAACTGACAGACATGAACACAACCACCAGTCAGAACCAATTTCAGTTACACAGAAAAAAAAAAAAATTTATTATAATTTTATAATACACACCATATCAGCAGCAAAGGCTATTATCATGGAAAACAGAGTAGAAGAAATCATCATAACTAGGGATGCCCCCGAAAATTTTGGACCGAAACAGAAAATTCTGGATGCACTTGGCGGAAACCGAAAATTACTATTAATTTAAAATTACTATTAAATTAGTAATAAAAAAAAAATATATATATAAATAAATAAAAAGAATCATTAATTTCTCATTTTATATTAGTTTTTTGTATAATTGTATTATTAATAGACTTTTTGATTAATTAAATTATTTTACTGAATCTGAATTAAAAAAATAGAAGCCAATAAAATAACCACACCTTTGTTTAAAGTAACACAAAAATTGGACAGAAAATAGGCCTATATTAAAATAATATTAAATATCAATTTCATATTTAAGGGGCGGGGCAGGATGGCATGTTTTCGGCTTTTTTTCTTCTTTCGGCCAAAAATTGAAACTGCCGATAATTTTCGCCGGGCAAAATTTCTATGAATCCCTAATTATAACCATAACAACAATAAAATGTCAAGAAATAAAGACAATTATATACAATAATTTAACATTTCCTACAACAAATACAGTAAAAATATAGATATATTAGCGACAGCAGCAAATGTATTTGCCATTTCAGTGAAATCTGATTAAAAAAAATTTTTTTGTTGAAAATGTCCATTAATGACATTTCTGAATAAAACCATTGCCTAATATAATTTAAAGAAGCATTTCAATAAAACATGCTTTATATTATTTATTAAATAAATAAACAATGCAATAACATTTTATTGTTTTGTATTGGTACTAGTAATTCTCCATATTTTACCATGTTTACAAACCCAGATATTAAAACATGATTTTTTGTAAAGCTGTTTTTAAAACATTGTGTGTTGTGAAAAGAGCTATGCAAATAAAATTGACTTAACGTGTATTACCAAGTTAAATTAAAACAAGTATTTAACTAAACATTGCTTATGATTGTAATTGTTAAAGTGAGTGATTTTCTTTAATGCTGTTGTTTGAATAATATTAACATCATAATTGACAGCAGCAAGACCAAATGCACAGTATCAGTCAGTCCTATCAGTTTATATTCATTCAACAAACTTAATACCTTTTGACTATGAAGTGCGTTAAACTGCCGAACATGAAAGTGTTTGAACATCAAATATATCATCACACATGAGGATTAAAGTCATTTTCTCTTATCCTGATGTTCAGATTAATCACACACACACAAACACTCTCATTCCCGCTGTGTGTCTCACTCTCAAATGACAAAACTCAGTCCAATTATTTCCTGATGTCCTCAATGACCGACCTTACAGACACACACACACACACACACTCGAGTGTGTCTGACGTGACTCATGTGGAGCAGCAGGTTCAGGCTCGCTTTAATTATCCATCTCTACAGCACTTCTCACACCGCCTGCACTTACAGCCAAAGTTGTTTTAAGGAAATTATCGGAAATATGTTCAACAGGTTTCACTTTTCAAGGACAATTTAAAGAGGACATATGATGTCAATTTTCAAAGTGTTGATGATGTTTTCAGGCTCTACTTGAACAGGTTTTCTGCTTGAATGTTGATTATTCTCCTCATATTCTCCATTGTTGCGGCTCCTCTCTTCCCAGTCTGTCAGTAACGCTGTTTACTTCCTGTCTCTATGAAGCCCCTCCTTCTGAAAAGCACACTGTGCTCTCATTGGTCGGCTGGAGCAGTGTGTTGTGATTGGTCGAGCGCTTCGAGTGTGTTTGGGAAATGTCCCGCCCCTTCCCATAACCGCCAGTTTAACACACTACTAAGTAACTCGACCAGGCCCCGCCCCTTTATTCTGCGTATTAATTATTATAATGAGGAATATTGTGACGTGTTCGTTCCCGGAAGAAACTCAAGACTACAATGGAGGCGTTTCAGGAGTTCAGAAACACTGACACTGATATAGAGAAGAACTAGAGCTTGTTCATGCTCAGACAGCAACATTACACACTATAGAAAGACGAACAAGGGAAAAAGCTAAATATAGGACTGTTACTGGGACTATATATTGTGGTGATGATATAAAGATATTTTACTATATCGTTTATGTAAATGTTAGGGGTGTAACAATATATCGAAATACAAAAATGCA